ATCTCCCACAACTATGTAAGATACAGGAAATGATGTCACTTTCCTCTCTGTTAAGATCTGAAGCACTGAAAAGTCTATGTGCTCTCTCTAAGAAAATATTTAAATCTAAAAGTTCTTACACCAAAAGTTATTTTATAAAGTGTCAAATCTGTTACCACAATATCAAAAGGAAAACAGATTTTTTCATTGATCACACTTTGTGTTATTTAAAAGCCTTTTAATCATGATTTCAATAGTGCCATGTGCTCTTAGCATTTATGCTAGCAAGTGGAGTTTTTGGCAAAAAATTAAGAAAATAGTAAATTCTGTTACTGTCAAACTCCGTTACCAAGGTAGAGTAACAATGCGGTAACATAATTGACAGTCCATTGGACAATTGTCAATTCTGTTACTTTATAATTCTGTTACTTAAAGGGTCAACTCTGTTTATGAACTATTTTCACAAAAAACAATACATTTGTTGTTTAAAATCCTAATAAACATTATTGATTTATTTATAATAACTTTATTTCATAATATTACTATTTCAATAATACATTTTGAATATTTCAATAATACATTTTCAGATGAAAAATATTTGCTCCAAGTGGACGGTTCTGTGAAGACATAGGTATTTTTTATTATTATTTTAAAGGTATGCATGGGTGAAATATTATCTCAGTTTCAAGAGTAAGGGCTGTTTGTCTAATGAAACAAGAAGGATTTTTCCTGTTATGATTTATTGTTATTTCTACACATTGGCTAATTTGTCCGTAACAGAGTTGAAAAAACAATACCATAAAGACATCTGTTTTTTCATTAAAAGTAAAACAAAAGGAAGTAACCTGTGTTTGGCAAGCACTGAATTATTAAAATTAAATATGTTTTCAATAAGAAAATCAAAAAAAAATCTGTAAGTGAAAAGTTTTTTTTCTTAACTTTCTGTAATGCCAAATATATCTCCAATTATAGAATCACCCATATGTCTCTGTACAATCCCAATATATGCCTCCACGTCAATGGTACCTTCGCACATATACAAGTCACCCATGCTGTTTGCACTGATGCACCCCCATACCATGACAGACGTTTGCTTTTGCACCTGTCGCTGATTTAAGTCTGGACGGTCCCTTTTGTCTTTGAGACTAACAATTTTATGTCCTTTTCCCCCCAAAACAAGCTGAAATGTGGACTCATCTGACCACAGCACACATTTCCATTGTCTTTTGGACAATCTAAGATGAGCTCGGACCCAAAGAACTCGCTGGCGTCTCTGTCTAGAATTGATGTATAGATTACTCCTTGTGCAACAGAGATTCAAGTTGCATTTCTTGTTGCAGATGCAGACTGTGAACAGTTATCCATAGTACTCCTCAGCCCATGTAGCTATATTTCACACAGCAACATGAAGGTTTCTCAGGCAATGCCATCTGAGGGCTTAAAGATCACACACATTCAACTGAGGTGTCCTGCCTTGCCCTACATGTACTGAGATTTCTCTGGATTCCCTGAATCTTTTCACAAAATTATGTATGGTAATTGGTGAAAGACCTAACTTCTTTGCAAATTTGCATTGAGAGATGTAATTTTTGATTTGTCTGGCAATTTTCTCATGAAATTTGGCACCAAGTGGTGAGCCACGATCAAGCTTTGCTGGCAAAGACAGGATGCTCTGTATAAACCCAATCCTGATACCCTGACGTATTATTACCAATTATCCTGATTTTAAAACAGTTTAACTCAGATATTCTATAACCTTTTCATTTTTATTATGCCTCTGTCCCAACTTTTGTGGAGTATGTTGCAGCCATCAAAAAATCATTGGAAATCTTTTAATTGTACCTTTGTCAATTTAATGAAGGTTAAAGACAGTTTACAAACCATAGATTCTTGATTTTACTGCATTTTAAAAAAACATTCCAACTTTTTTGGAATTGGGGTTGTACATGACCACCACCCTCTTGAGGTGACAGAAGAAGTTGTAAGTCTGTTTAAAAATATAAAGGATTAATAGGACAAAAAAAAACACATTTGAGATAGAAAAATCAACATTTTACTTTGGGGATATAATTCAGTTTACAATAAGGTTTATGTATGTTAATTGACAGAAATTGATTTATTCTGAATCAGCAGATTCTTTCAAAGTGTCATCTCTGAGTTAGGGAGGGTTGCAAAAAAAATGTTTCACTTCATTGTAATATCAAACAAATGCATATACAAAATGTAAAACATCAATGTTCTCTATTGTTAATCTACTGTTAAAACACACACCGGTAGGTGATTATGTTGTAAAAACAGGGCTTTTTGTACTTGACATTATTTTACACAATAGAGAGATTTCAAGAGAAGTTGTAGATTTCAAAACAACATCGATTTGTATCAGATAAATGTTGAAAAATTTGATAAAAAGTCAAAATAAACTGAGCAGTGTTACAAACCTCCCCTGTCTCTCCATCTTAATCGTGAAAACAGAAAAATTGCACAGCCTATCAAGCCATCTTGAATTCAAAACCATAATAAAAGTTAATTTCACTTACACAACAACATCCAGTGAAATCAAACTAAATTAAAGAAATAACACAACACATGTAAAATGTGCAATATGCAGGAAGACTCAGTGCAGTAGGTTTCAGTGTTTCAGTGTCTTCACTTCCGCACCTGCGCACAGGAGGGTTTGATACGTGACTGGAGAAGTTACAGAAGCATGTAATAAATGAAACCAACCAAATGACTTCCTTATTGTTTTACTGCAGAGCTACAGCACAGTATAAATAGCACTTATTTTGTGATGCAGTAAAATTTTATTGCAGCTAAAGTACACATATGGTGTTCTACAGTGGGATGGGCTACTTTTAATGTATACAACTGCTTACCTGACTTCCATAGGGAGGTGGAGGAGCCCTTGACTTCCCTCCATGTTTTACATCTGCATACTCTGTACTAAATTCACTCTTATTCCCCAGATTCACTCTCTCTCCACTAGCCTTCTGGAAATGGCTAATGTCTGCATAGTTCAAGTCCTACAAACAGTCATTTGTTTTTGTTAAATTAAAATCTCAATGTCACAATGCATTTACAATGCTGTGAAAATGCATTTGCCCCCACCCTGATTTCTTCTGTTTTTGTGTATATTTCATGCTAAATAGTTTTAGATCTTCAATAAAATAAAACAAAGGAAACATACGTAAACACATTCATTATTTATTTTTTAAAGGGGTCATATGATGCAATTTCAATTTGTTCTTTCTCTTTGGAGTGTTACAAGTTGTTGGTGCATAAAGAAG